TACTGCTTAATTTTCAGCTTCAAAAGAACCCGACTTTAGTATTTGGGGGTAAAAGTGCGCCTTTTCCCGAATAAAACTTCCTTTCCCTGCTTGTCTATATGAAACTCTCCCGACTGCAGGGGGCCTCTGAGGCCGGGAGCGCAGCGTCCAGCTCAGGAACGGTGTCCGGAGGGCCCGTGCCGGGCTGGGACCTGCTCTGTAGCTGGCTGCAGCGGTCCTGTGGCACTCGGGGAGGCGCCTGGGACGCGCCTGGCGTGAGCTGTCGTAAGCCCGGCTGCCTCCGTCCCGCCCGCCCGGCCCGTTACAGGAAACCACGTCCCTTCTCAAGGATCCTGGGGTCTGCGATCCCCTCAAGCCGCTCGCCTCCCCAGGGAGGGCGCCGCGTCCCAGCTCCGCGTCCTCTCCGCTCGCTTCCAGCAGCCACGGCGGCGGCTCCACGCGGGGAGGTCCACGGGGCCGCGCTCCCCCTGAGCTCTGCTGAGCCCCCCACCCTGACAGCATGGCGGGGGCGCGGCGCTGGGTCATTCTGAGGAACCGGGGGATGGTGAAAAATGAGACTCCTGGTGACATCACAGAAGCTCAGTCTGTTTCATTTCAAATGCCCGTTTGTTCGCTACTTAGGACAGCAGAGTGGCAGCCGGCACTCTTTTCGGTGGTATTGGAGGGTGCCATGTGGCCTGGAAAGCAAGGACCCAGGGCGCATCTAAGTGCCCACCCGTGCACCAGTAACTTCTGAACATTTAGCAAATTCATTCAATGACATCTGTCAAGCTGGTATATCTTAAATTACCACATCTCTATGCTCACGGGACTTGTATCTAACGGCAAACTATAACGAAGCTGTAGCTAAAGTGACCCAGTTATTATCCGGTCTCATCACTGGAGATTGGGTGTGAAAGAGCAGATTTACTGCCCAACCTCCCCACTCTTCTCGAGAAATGAACAGAAACATCCACTTTGAGTTTATTTTGTAATTCAGATCGGCAGTTGGGAAATGCATGAGCAAAGACTTTCATAATTCTATTAATGAGATCCCATATAAAACTTTACAGACACGAGCTCAATCTAGCAATGCCAAGGAAAACAAACCAAGTCTAAGGTGTCAGAATGTGTAGGTTTGGGGAACAGCATTGAATTCGTGCTTAAAAAATCTACAGTACTTGTTTAGGTAGATTTTTTTTTTTCTAAGCCATAGAGGAGAGATGTTTGGGTGGATTATCAGTCTTTTATCTTTGACAATTTATTATTTATTTTTAATGCTGAAATATTTTATTGTCCATGACCCTAGAGGTTTTCTGCTTTGATATGTTTTTAAAACAGAATAATAAATAAATGAGTATTTAGTTCAGGAAGTCCATTGTAAGGTTCATATTTTTTAAACCTTTCCCAATTCTGACCGAGGAAAAATGATTAGTTTCTGGTTACTTTCCTGATAGTTGCTATTAGGGGGGGAATGGCCCTCAAGCTTTGTGGGCATTAGGTTATACAAGTGATACCAGCTAACAGCTACTTATGTGGAATGTTTCAAGCACCGAGTTGTTTCCTTGTAACACTTCTACAAGTATAATAATAATGGAGGGCCCGCAATTAATGTGCTCTATTAAAAACATCTTTCAATGTAATTTTTGAATTAGAGATCAATCCCTCAGAATAAAAGTTTGTCAGTTTGTGAAACTATTCAAACGCTTTACAGGGGAAGCCACAGTTGTGAAAATCAGCAGAAGAAATCCATATTTATTTATTTAAATAATGTTTTTTCCCACATACTCTGCTCTTTGCATTTTCAGGCAGATTCTATATGTGGGCATGTTAGCATATATTACCATATCTGTAATTGCATCTTTATTAATTTCAATGACTTTTTAAAAAAGAAGATTGAGAGTGGAGAACTCCTCAATATTCAACAAATATTCACTATTCCCAAACAATCTCGTCAATGTCATGACATTTGGGAAGCTCCACTTTTATCAGGCTGTTTCCTTTAAGATCCCGTAGAAACGGTGCGGGCTCGTTGTCAAAAGAATTTTTGGTTATTCGACAGTCCGTTTCCGCTCTCAGATTCTCAATGACTCAGAGCAAGGGGAAAAAAACAACAGAGCATTTTTCCAGTGATCTGGAAAGTATTGAGACCTAGGCTGATATTCAACCAGTTATACTTTCACGTAAAATCAGAATCGCTTTGAAAAGTGGTCTCCCTCAGTCAGCATCACCTAAACAAAAAACCTGTAATTAAATATACCTGCCTGCCTGTGTATGTATGTATACATGAATATGTACAATGCCAACTTTAAAAAAATCAACTTCTTTCACTGTTAGTAGTAAAAAAAGTGTGTATTTGGTGATGTTGGGGGTTGTCAAGGAGACCTGACTGGTTTACTTACACATGTACTTATTCAGTGAATTTTTTTATCAAGCCCCAGACAAATGCCAGTCACTAGGCTGTGTTCTGGGACAAAGTAATGAGCAAAACCGATGAGGACCCTGCCTCATGAAGCTTCCATTTTAGTTGATATATAGATGTAGTGGGCACCCAAGACCTCAGTACATTTACACAGTCGGTCCCCACGTTTATCTATTTAATGGGCCATGACATTCTGATACAATTATCGATTCAGTGACTTTCACTTTTCCCAAAACATTTGAAAACATACTTTGTGTTGAAGTCTGACCCACCACAGAAAATGATAGAGAAAGCAATTCTGAGTTACTTCCAGGCACTCACGATAGAGGGAAACAGTCAAAGATACGTTTATGACTCAATAATTAAACCTGGGTGAGCGAGCCCACTGGGGACTTGTGCAGTAATAACATAGAAGGGCAGGTTCCAGCC